CGGTGATCACAGAGGAGTGACTTCAGGCGATCTGATATGGTCTCTGGAAAAGCCTTTCCAGAGGCTTTTGGAGCCATGTTGGGGTGTAGGGAGATTCACCTGCTTGGGGTTAACTTTTGAAGCTCATCTCCCTGGTTTGGGGAATGGTTCCTTTCTGGATTAATACCACTGCCTCCTATCTGTGTGACTACAGTGACATTAAAGCTTGAATAATTCTCCATCTGCCATCAGTAGTACTTTTCTAATTAATAGGTTTAATCATTAATGTTCTAAGGAATATATTATAATATTAGCTGTTTAAATATTATGCCAAACTATGCTTTAAAAAAGCCAAGTTTACAGCAATTTAGTAAGATGATAGCTGCAATGAGGAAGTAAATTTATGTTGCCCTGTACTGATGTTCCACGCTAGGCAGCTTGTACTTAGGAAATAGAAAACAAAATTTGGCATCATAAATAGCTTCATGAATGTTAATTTAATGATGATGACAATAGTTACAATGATGACAATTTTATTAGAAGATACTTTGTAAAAAGTGGTCAAACTTTGCCTGAGTTTTACAGGCATGTGGAAAAGCAGTTAATTGACACCATGGTATTTCATTATTCTCATTATGCTCTCCCACTAAGTAAAACTATCCTTTTAAAACCAGTCTCATTGTTATAGAATATAAGCTCTTGATAGAAATGAGTTTGAGTGGTACTACTATTACCGTTACACTGCAATCTGGAGTTTTTACACAGGCAAAATTCCATGTCCTAGTAAGAACTAAGGGCCACCTCAGCTTGGTACACCTAGTGTTAGTTAATTCCTTACTCCTAAACATTGAGGAAATTTCCCAGGAGCTCTGATCAAATCTGAAGGCATTGTTGTCAAGCAACTTTCACCTAGTTCATTTTTATGCTTATTCATGATCTTAACAGAACAGCTAACTCTTAAACTTGGTGTTGGTCTGTGTGTCTTATTTGATTCTGAGCGCATGATTCTGTGCTGGCTGCTGCTGGTTGGTTTTTTTTGGTAAAACACAGCTGGAGGAGAAGGTGCCTTTTCTAAGATAGATTAATAGTTAAATGATTCACTGAAAGCCTCTCCCAAATTCTAGCTTTGTTTCCAAATGTGCTGGATCAAAATTTGTGCCCTTCCAGTAAAAATATTCGTGGAAATTTAGTTGTACACAGTAGTATTCAACCCAGTATATTTCGAAGAAAGGCTGCTGAAACAAATGGGCTGCAGTAATGAATTATTAAGATACACTGTAAGGAATATAACAATTTTCAGATTACTACTATGCATATTGCTTAGAAGTTTGGATTCCTCTTTTTGTTTAGAGCATGTCTGTGTGTCCCCCTTCGAGTGCCCACTTCGTGTACTCTAGGTGGAAGTAAATGGTGCTAATACAAAGTGCTGTAGCTCAGCTGCTTGCTGACGTAAGCCCCTAGGAACACACAACTTTAGTTTGTCCTTCCCAGTAAATATGGAGTTTAGTTTCTCACTGCTGTGCTGATTAGCGTTTAAAACTCTGCAAAGCATGGCTCAGCTACCTGTGAGAATGCTTGTCCTTCCATGATGACTCACTTTATTGGGGTCGTGAAGCAGTTTTGTCAGAAGAAAGAGCTTTTCCTGCAGTTCATCTTCCTGACACAAGACACTCCTTGCCACATCAATGGAAGTAAGCCCTGTTCTCACCTTCTTCTGAACTAGATGGAAACCCTGTCTCTTGAGCCTTCAGCTACTCTCAGGAAAAAAAGCTACACAGTCTATGAATTAAATCCCCACAAAGCTTGTCCTTTTGACAGGTATTGTGGTTTGGGCTGGACTGGCCACTAAAATGAACGACAGATGCTCTCTAACTTCTCTTCCAAGTGAGAGAAGAGAGAGAGAGAGAGACTTGCGAGTTGAAAAGAAACAAAACTACTTTAATGAAATACTAATAACAAAATAATAAAAAGAAAAGATAATAATATTCATAAGCAAATAATGAAATATAAACAATATATACAAAACCATATTGAGCTCCCGGGATGACAGTCACGTCACCGGCAGGCACTGGGGAAGTCCCAGACCGGACTCAGCAATGGACAGGAGCTCATCTCAAGAATTGGATTCAGGAGTGCATAGATTGGGATCAAAGGCAGTGTCCTCCTTGGATGCTGGCCATTGAAGAAAGAGGGCTGACCCTTTGATCCATCAGCTTTTTGTTGGTCAGTTTTGGGTCACCTGTCCTGTCTGCTCCTCCCTGCAGGTGGGACCATTCTATGCTCTTCTGCTTCCGACCCTCCAATGGGGCAAATAACAAATGAACGACAGATGCTCTCTAACTTCTCTTCCAAGTGAGAGAAGAGAGAGAGAGAGAGACGTGCGAGTTGAACAGAAACAAAACTAATTAAATGAAATACTTATAACAAAATAATAAAAAGAAAAGATAATAATATTCATAAGCAAATAATGAAATATAAACAATATATACAAAACCATATTGAGCTCCCGGGATGACAGTCACGTCACCGGCAGGCACTGGGGAAGTCCCAGACCGGACTCAGCAATGGACAGGAGCTCATCTCAAGAATTGGATTCAGGAGTGCATAGATTGGGATCAAAGGCAGTGTCCTCCTTGGATGCTGGCCATTGAAGAAAGAGGGCTGACCCTTTGATCCATCAGCTTTTTGTTGGTCAGTTTTGGGTCACCTGTCCTGTCTGCTCCTCCCTGCAGGTGGGACCATTCTATGCTCTTCTGCTTCCGACCCTCCAATGGGGCAAATAACAAAGTGAGCTGCCCTTTGGTGTTATAGCAAGTACAAGCAGGAGCCTCTCTGAACACCATTCCTTGGTATTAATTATAAACATCAGGCCTTATCTTTGCTAGAAGCCAACACCGGGAAAAATATGCCGTTAATTTCAGAGTTCAGTTAGAAGAGGGTTAGCCGAAAAGTAAAATTACTGAAAAGAAAATGGTTCTGTTTTGCCTCAAAACAGGACAGCAGGACCAGAAGTGGAAGAGATTTCTGCACTCGCATTTCAGAAAGAGCACTGGGAGAACGGTTCATACAGAAGTTCATACAACCTGATGCATGTTGTTTGCTAACCCTGTTTGGTTTTTCCCTGGCTGACTGCATCAAACAGTTAGAACCACTAAACACTGAGATCCTACTGTCAGTTCTATGCAGATGAACTGATGGACTTGAACGGAGTCAGCTGTGAGCAGTTGTATGAACGAAACAGTCTCAGACACAGTTTCTCTAGGAAAAAGGGATATCCTGAGAATGATCTCCCTTTTTGTTCCTTGTCGGGTTTTGCTGTTAATTTTGAGACTCCATAAATTAAGGGAGTTAGTGTTCCAAGTGCCAGTGTAGTTTGGGTAGAGACCTTGTATAAATGTATTTTAAATCTGTTTGCAAGCTGCGCCTCCTAATCTTCTTAAAAGGCTTTTGACAAGAGAGTTAATGCTTATTAGTACCTGTCAGCACAGTTAAAAAAAAGGAATGGGTGAAAATCTTACTTGAAATACTTCAAAAGGGACCTGTTGTAGTTGGTTGTAGTTTGAATTGGTAAGAGGATGTCACTGTCGTGTAGAAGCAACTTTATACACCAGAGAGTTGTTATTCTCATCTGTATTTAATAATGGTAAGTTGGAGTATAAATGAGGATAGAGATTTAATCCCTCCTAAACTTAATTTAATAAGAAAGATGAGAGACAGAGATTCAGGGTGAGTAGGATCTGGGCTTCTTCCCTGACACAAACATTTGGATCCCTTAAGTCTTTGATTCCAAAGAGAAATCTTTAAAAAAATTCTGTTGGAAGGAGTGCTTACACTGTGGGTGTACATAAAGATATGTATGTGTGAACTTAGTCTTGGTTCATTGTAAGCTACCTGACTTCTGTTCATTTAGAAGCTCATCCACTGGCTAAAAGAACATTTTTGTCAGTAAAAATTAACTAGCAGCATTTGAGTGAGTGATAGGTCTAACGATCACAGATAGTTCTCTGTCTTTCTTGTACCCCTTTATACATAAATGATTTCTGAATCTGGTCCAGCATGATCTCCTAGGGATGTGCTGTGTTTCTTTCTGTACATAGTGGTAGGCATTTGGTCTGTTATGAAAGATTCTTTCTAATGCTGTCAGTTAGTGGTTGGCTTACCTGCTGGTTCGTAATGTTTGATAATCGCATTTAAAATGTACATGATGGACCTAATTTGCTTTAGTTTCATACATACATAGTAGTTTTCTGAATCTGCTGAACTGCTTGTCCACATGCTGCTTTGTTGGAGGGAGTTCTACAATTTAATTTTTCTCGAAACCTTGGTTTTTTAAAGGTGTCACTGTCATAGATTTCAAATATTTTAAATATTTGGATTAAAACTCTTTAGCCTTACCAGTGAAGAGTTACGATTCTTGCTTGCATATTTAATTTGTCCAACATTAAGAGACAGGAACTGCATGAAAGAGAATGTACTTATTGCAGTTGTCTTTCTCACTTGCAAGTGAGAAGAGAAAACAGAACACTCAAGTTTGTACCCAGTAAAATGTGGAAGAGAGATGTGGATATAGGAGTTACTGCTGATATCTAAAGCTTTCCTTTTAGCCAGATAGAGAACTTCTATTTTGGGTACTGATTCCACAGACCTCTTGTATGTTTGGACATCTGTTTATTCGTTGTTCTCTTACAAACTTAAAGCTATGTATCATTCTAAGCTCTTTAGGATAAGGACTGTATCGTATATATTTTTACAGTAATTGCTACGGCAGGACCTTGGTGCTAAATGGGGCTTCTGGGCACTGCCTGTGTTGAAATGATAATAGTCATGCTCAAGTTGATAACAGACCGTTGGTGGGATATTTTGGAAGGGTTTAATTATGTACCTGTGAAATGCATTTGAATTGGTTTATATTATAGTGTGGCATTTAATGCAAACATTTGTAAGTTTAGTGCATGCAGGTGGGGATATTTCTTTCCTAAAGCCCTTGAGAATTTTGTCCTTTGTTTTCTTGCAGACCTTTGGAACGTTCCAGTGAAGATGTAGATATAATATTCACACGGCTGAAAGAAGTGAAAGCTTTTGAGAAATTTCATCCAAACCTTCTCCAGCAGATATGTCTGTGTGGGTATTATGAAAATCTGGAAAAAGGAATCACATGTAAGAGAGCTTCATACGATGATCTATTTTATGTAGATAAAATCGGGGGTTAGGCTGGGATTGTCTCTAGGAGATCAATGAGAGAGCACAATTAGTGGAACGTCCATAAAAATGTTTACAGTCATAGTCATGGGGGAAGGCAGGACTAAAGTGCTGCTTGCTCTACAAATACATTGTGTAGTGAATCTATGGTAACAAGGCACACATTATTAGGTATAGGACTCTGCCGCTGTTTTCTTGAAAGATTAGAAGCAAGTCATTGCACTATAACCTCATTCTTCCCCTGTAAATGTATTATTGATCTCTTTTGTAGGTGCTTTGTGATGTCAGGGGCAAAAGTATATCACCTAGGCATATCATTAATAGCATGTGGTTTGCAGTCACTCTGGATAACACAGACAGAATTGCAGAGCTGCGTACTGCTGTGGGGTGCAGCAGCTCTGTGCCTGCTCTGGCAGCCCGCGTGCCAGATGAAGGTGAACAGCTGTTCTTGGTCTATGAAGCTGAGGTGGAAATAAGTGGTGGTTCTGTGATGGGAATGTGTGAGTTCCCACAGCTGGACCAGGGGAGTAGCTGATGGAGACATGTGGTGTTTGGCAGCATCTCAGGTACCCCTCAGGTAAATCTGGCGTGCTTTAGCCACACAGCACTGGGATTTGCTTAGAGTAATAGGAATTCTGATGCTCTGTAATCGCACGGTTGGAATGCCTGAACATCAACGTCTTGCAGTTGCTTCTCAGCCAGAACTTTTACTGAAGTCAGTAGCAGCTGTGTTTGCATTAGAATATTCTGAATTTCAAAGGGACATTGTTCAGAAAGTATTTTTTGGGGGGGGGTTGCTTGTTTGTCTGTTTGTTTTGTTTTGTTTATTAACTAAGCAGTAAAAGAGAGGCAAACTGGGGAGAAGAGTGAAGAAAGTCTATGAGCTGTCATTGTTTTTGTAGTGTATTGAGCAGTTTACTAAAATATGTGCTTTTCAGTGTCATCAGAAATATTACTGTAATAGTAAGTAAGTAGTCTGATATGGCAAATTCTATAATGCAAGAAGAGACTACAGTAGTATAGTAATATGAGGGAAAATGTTTGTTAATGTTGCTAAACTTAAAGAGATAGCTCTTATTTACAAGATTTAATCTTTTCAGTATTCCGTCAGGGTGATATTGGGACGAACTGGTATGCTGTTCTGACAGGATCACTGGATGTGAAGGTTTCTGATACAAGCAACCACCAGGTAAAATACATTTTTCATTGAAACCATCCAGTCAGTAGTACAAAGAGAGGGTGTGACTTATGCTGACATACGACATACATCTTACGGATATTTTGTCTTACCACAAGCATGTTTCTCTGAGTCTCCTTTACTCTCAGTTGTCCTTTGTCTATAGAGGCAAATCGTGCTATTGATTTCAAGAAAACTGAAATGTAATGCTCTGAAAAGGGGTCTACATTTTAATATGAAACAAGACTCCTCTGTCTTTTCTAATAGTGCCATATGGAGTTAAGGTAAAGATCTAAGAGTTGTTAATTCATTCCCTGGAAATGTTTTAATTCAATCCTTGTTCAGAAAGTTCAAACAAAACCTACCAACAGTGCAGTCTGATAACAGCATACTGCAGTTTCCACTGTGGGAATGGTAAAGTACTATAGAATCATAGAATGGTTTAGGTTGGAAGGGACCTTTTAAAGATCATCTAGTTCCAACCCCCCTGCTATGGGCAGGGACACCTACTAGACCAGGCTGCTCAAAGCCCCAATCAGCCTGGCCTTGAACACTTCCAGGGATGGGGCCTCCACAACTTCTTTGGGCAACCCAAGCCAGTGTCTCACCACCCTCAAAGTGAAAAATTTCTTCCTGGTATCTAATCTAAATCTACCTTGTTCCAGTTTGAAACCATTCCCCCTCATCCTATCACTACATGCCCTTGTAAAAAGTCCCTTCCCATCTTTCCTGTAGGCCCTCTTCAGATACTGGAAGGCTGCTATAAGGTCCCCCTGGAGCCGCCTTCTCCAGGCTCAATAATCCCAACTCTCTCAGTCTGTCTTCATAGGAGAGGTGCTCCAGCCCTCTGATCATCTTTGTGACCCTCCTCTGGACCACTCCAACAGGTCCATGTCTTTCCTGTACTGAGGACTCCAGAGCTGGGCACAGTACTCCAGGTGGGGTCTCACAACAGTGGAGTAGTGGGGGAGAATCAGCTCCTTTGACTTGCTGGCCACGCTTCTTTTGATGCAGCCCAGGATACGGTTGGCCTTCTGGGCTGCAAGTGTGTGTTGCTGTCTCATGTTGAGCTTCTCATCCACCAGTGCTGCGAAGTCCTTCTCCTCAGGGCTGCTCTCAATTCCTTCATCCGCCCAGCCTGTATTTGTGCTTGGGATTGCCCTGACCCATGTGCAGAACCTTGCACTTGGCCTTGTTGAACTTTCTGAGGTTGTCATGGGCCCACTTCTCAAGCCTGTCCAGGTCCCTCTGGATGGTATCCCTCTCCTCCAGCGTGTCTGCCACGCCACACAGCTTGATATCGTCAGCAAACTTGCTGAGAGGGCACTCAGTCCCACTGTCTGTGTCGCTGACAAAGATGTTGAACAGCACCAGTCCCAGTACCGACCCTTGAGGAACACCACTTGCAGTAATAGCAGAGTATTGGAACTGCTGCCATGTTTGCCTGTAGGTAATACCCTATTCAGTGTTAAGGAATAGAAGAACAAGTAAAATTCCCCCCAGATTGCAAGTGATGTGTCAGTATCTTGGCACTCCTGGATTTACTAAATTGAGAATTTAGAATAAATAATAGTAAAAAAAGGATGAGATATTTCTTGTGGAGACAGTTTCTCACCCATGTCATCTAATGTCATGCTGACAAGTCATGCACTTCCTGCTGTGAGCTGGGTCTTCTGGGAAGGCATCATGTCCCATTCCCTGCTCCTGTGTTTGAGATCTGGGATTGTCCCATCATGTAGCTCAGCATGGGGTTGTACCTCTGACATGTGACTCGTTGTGCCTTCACATGAGTGGTGTAGCTACCCAGGACCTGAAATAGAACACTACCCTTTTTTCCTGCCGTGATTGAATATAGCATGCAGGGGTGGGGGTGGGGAAGGGGGGTGGGGGTGGATTCTTTGTCCAAAGTTTGTCTGATTGGGGAAGGCTTCTTGCTCATAGAAGATTGGCAGAAATTGGATTTGTCACTTTGTTGAGCACTGTGAAATTGGGTCAGAATGCAAGTCAGGGCAGTGTGTGAGCACAGGGTCTTTCTACTTGCAGTAAAATGATACAAAAGGAACTTCTTTTATATCATTATTTTTAGCAACCTCTTCACTATACTAAGTAGAGACTGATTGAGTGTATAATTAGCTTATCATTGGTATTGTCACAATTTGGAGCAGTACTGGGCTCTTATGAGACCCTTTTCTGTGCAGGTCTAAAGCAATCACGAATATTTTCCGGTGTTTGCCGAAAGATGGCACTACACTGTTGTTAAGGTCCAATGCTCTTTACTGAATCAGAAAGAAATATATCCACAAAAGTGTTCTGAATGTGGAAGTTAAATTAAGAATATGTTTGGAGTGTTGATTTGTTCCATTCGATGGAGGATGGAACACTTTTACAGCCTTTTAAGAAATCTCATGTAAATATTTTTTCTGCTTATTCAGGTTCACTGCGTTTTCCTGCCAATAGGAAACTAAAGAACTACAATTAATGTAGTGCTGGTTCTAGAAATTATATTCTGCAGTAATTTCTTAACCTTGCGTTTCCTTCTCACAGGAACAATAGACTGAATTCTTACCACTACCTAGTTGCCATAGGATACAGCCTCACTGCCAAAAGCACAGCAGCTTACGCATTTACCATTCCAGTGCTGAATAAGTTTGGTGCTTGGGGACTCCTAAATAGTGTTTGAGTCCAGTATTTTCTCTGGTTTTGCTCCAGCTTGGAGTTTATACCGTGTCCATCCTTGTCCATCCTTGGTCTCCTGCTGCTTGTCCTGCCTTTATCTCCTGGGTGCCCTGTTCCAGTCTTGCCCGTACTTCCTTGTTGGCATGGTGCTAGTCATTCTTGAGCTTGAAGTACTTTCTCACAGTCCCTGCCTACTTTGCTCACTACAAACCCAGATGATGGAGGAAATACAGTGTAGCTCCATAGGCAGGCAGCCCTGACAGACTCGGTTGCTAGCATTGTGTTCCCAGCTAGGAATGGATGACCAGTGCTTAAGATGCAGGGATGCTTGTAACCTACCATCGAGCACAATTTCCAATAACAGCACCCAGGAGCCAAAGCTTCCTCTGCAAAGTCATAGTAATGATTAATTGCTCTGCTGTTACTATTATACCATAAACGGCACTAATGCTAATGAGAAACTCCAGCAGTACAGAAGAGATACAGAAGTTTGCCTGAGTTTACAAATTCAGAATTTTGTAGTCTCAGGTGAAAGTACAGAAGGACTATGCCATCTTTTCTAGGAAGAGAGAAGCTAACTTTGTATTTAGGTTCCTGTTGGTTAAAAAGTCTTTAGACATGACTAATAATCTTTTAATATTTAAGATGAGCAGGAGGTTGTACTAGATGACCTCCAGAGTTTTCTTGCAGCTTGAATTATCCCATGATTATATGATGATGCCTGCAGTGTTGATGTAAATATGGAAAATCAATTCTCTTGATTAAAAATACATTAGTTCCACTTTTACTAGGTGTTTATCTGCCTGGGGAAATTAAATTTCAACAAGCCTGGGACTAAATGCATTGTGTGGCAGCTACCATGTGCTAACTCTTTATGCAGCCACCTTTGGTGTCTGGTTGCTTTCTCCCATTAAAAGTTATTGTGCAATTGGTGCTTACTAAGAATGTCTTAATGGCCTTTGCTCCTACAGAGGCATGTCGTTACATGTCTTGCACTAGAAATTATATCTAAATGCACTAATGGATCAAGACTTTTAAATGTTTTAGTAAACATAAACCCATGTATTTAGGATCTCATACATAAAGCCTTGCTTTCATCTTGGTTTGGAAAAATCTGACTGTTTGCAAAACTGTATTATGACACAAGAGGGCAGTGTTAGAATACATAACAGACTGAGTACAGGCAATATTTAATACTAAAATGGCTAGTTTGAAAATCACATTCAAGTATTTACAGTATACCTGTTTGAAAGAGTTTGACCAGAGCAGATTTCTCTGTTACTGTTAGTTCTGTTCTACTGAGGTGGTAAAATATGCTAGTTGCTGCTGATCGTGATGGTAATGTCATTTGCCATTGAAATGGGACACTACAATTTACAATACAGAGTTCTGACAGGATTACCCGTCCAGTACATCCTGAGTGGTGGCTGGTCTGCTTTCTATACAAATTACTTGTGAATTTTCTGGCTATTCAACGATCAAGAAGAGACTGAAGAGGACTTTTTTTTTTTTTAAGGTAAAAATGTCACACTATGAATTGCAGAGGTAAGTGTAATGAACTGTTTTGGTCTTGCCTCAACTTGTTTGTAACAAATACCCTGATAAATATTGTACTTAAAAGTCACACAAAGACTTAGTAAGTCCCCTTCAAAATAAACAGAAAATGCATCCTGTTTATCAGAAAGAGGTCTTTACTCTCAACTATGAACAAATTCTGAATTTAATTTTTATTTGGCATTGTTACCTACCAAGCTATATAGTAATAGAAGTTCCTCTTAGAGATATTCCTAGTTTGGTGTTGTCCTAAAATACTGCTGCCTGCCTTGTGTATGTTTAGTTTTTGAACTCTGTTGTGAAAATGATCAGGTTCTGAAGGATGTGTGTTGGTGATGTCTCAGAATAATGCTGGAAATAAATGCATTATGACAAAAGCATCAGTGTGGCATCTTTGCCAGATTCTGCAGCATTGTGTTTTACTGAATTAGATTCAGAGCCTTTTACCCCAAATGATTAAGATTTATATTCCTATCTGATAAAACGAGAAGGAATGAAGAGAAGAAAGACAAAGACCAAATAGCATTTTGATCTGCAATTTTGCTGCAGTCTGCCAGCTGAATCATAGTGTGTGCTGGGGGCCATTTCTAGGTTATCTTGCTTGTGTTTGGGTGGAGTTTATTTAAGCTGATCAGATTTTAAAACCAGACCAAATTGAACACAGGGCGTTGACTTTACAAACAATTAGCCTTTTTCATTAAAGCTTTAAAGGAGGCGTTGTGGATGCTTGGGTGAAATAACAGTGTCAGTTGTGGGAAGGTGCAGAGGACTGGGGATCAAAAGCCAAATAACTTAGTGGGGTTGCTGAGAAGAGTGACTGTACAGTAAGAGGTTCAGATGTCCACGTAAGAAAGGGAAGAATTTCCTGGCTGTTTGAAATGGAAGGTAAAGGAGGTATGTGATAGGTGAAGTGGAAACAAGGAAAGAGGTTTAAACAGGACAGTCCTTGCCATACTGCTTTCTGCATGTAATTGACATTATGTATGCATGTAAATAGCTGTTATGTATTTTGGAGATAACCTATGTGAAGTTGCAACATAGATTTATACTGCAGTGTAATGTAAATATGCACAAGCTACCTTTAAATTATTTAGTTTGAGCATATGAACTGCTCTACCGTTGTAACATAGCGATTGGTTGGACTAATTTACTCAGCTGAGAAGCAGGGTGTGTTGGCCTGTGCTGAGGTCCACAGTGTTGTGGTTGTACTGATTTTGGTTTTGAACTTAGCTTATTGAAAGTTAATAAATAGAAAAATCATTTAGTTTCTGTCTGCCAGGTAACCTAGCAAAAACTCCAAGATATTGCAGGTGGCTTTCAGAGGATCAGATAGAAAGGTATGGAAATAATGAATATGTTATTACAGTACAGTTAATCTCATCTGTAAGTATTTTAATTAGGAACTAGACGAGAAGTTGGTCACAGCTGTTCTAGAAGCGTAATGCCTCCTTTAAGCAAATCACCTTGTCTTGTGTAAAGAGAATGACCTAACATACGTTGGAAAACTGCAGTTCTAGTGTGGGAAGATATTTCTATGTCATCTTTAAAAGTAGTTGGATAAGGATTTCCTATCTGAATGGCTGAAACATACTCCAGTGGAGGTAATGTAACAGGGAAATCACTTCATAGATGGTTTACTTTCACAAGTATCCTTTGGTTTCTCTGTCATAAAAAGAAATTTTTGCTGAGGACAAAATGAACTGTGTCAAAGTAATAATAAGCAAACTTTTCAAAATGCCAGCTTTTGCAGATTTCCAATTAAACATGGAGATAGTATGGAGTTCTGGAGGGTCACAGGTGCAGAGGTACAAGGTGTGGGAAAATGGTGAAATTAAAGACAAACTAGTTGACTGCATCAACTCCCTTATAAACTCAAAATACTGAATAAACTAAAATTTCAAAGAGTACCCAATCCCTTTCAACCTAGCATTCATGATTTTTTCCTATTTTCTTCATTTCTCTTTCAGACACCCTGATTTATTTATTTATTTATTTACACACAGTACAAAAATTCTGTTTGCCAGGATGTAAAATAAAGTGACACAAGTCAGGGAGGAGCATGCAGGGATGTGCCTTGTGATGGTGAGGGAGGGAATAAGGCAGAGCCTTGTTTCTGGTTCTCGTCCATTCCACAGAATGGTCTTATAAATTCAATAATGTTTTAGATTGATGGGGGTGGAGGTTTAACAACTCTTTCACTGCATGTGTCTCACCTGCCAGTGAGAATCAGTGAAACTGAATACACAAACAGCCTCTGATATGAACCATTTTATAGTGTGTTCAGAGGACAGATAGCAATGGAAACAATCTCATCTTTTAAAGTCTTTAATACTGCCTTTTAAATAGCTGTGTGAATTTTAGCTGGTTACCAGCAGCTAGAACCCCCTGCTGCTTCTGGGATTGCAGAGGGGAACAGCAAACTGAGTTTTGAGCTGCCAGCAATCCTCCTGAAGTCTCCACTGAACAGCAGGAGGTTCTTGAGTGTAAGGTTAACAGGCGTAATAGGAAATGCACACCTGATTCCCCAGGAGGCTGGAGATATATAAACAAGGGGCAGAGAGAAAATGGGGCTCTGCAGTCTTGAAGAAGACACAGGGGCTTGCTCTCTAGCTGGCTGCAAAACTGCATCTTTATGGAGAGCAATGATGGCTAGGGAAACAAACTGAAAGAACTTTCACTTGATGGAAGCCTGGACTTTAATGAATGTAGATAGGACCATTCTAGCTCCTTGACTTAACACCCTGCAATGTTAATTCGTTTCTCAGGCTGAACAGCTGCCTCACCAGAAGTTATCTTAGGAAGTAGTTCCTTAACCAACACCTTTCCTTTTCTCTTCTTCTATATTCTGTCTTTAAAGATATATTCTATAGGGTGGTAAAGAATCAAAAAAGGTGAAGTGTTTCAAAGGCGTTTATGTTTTTGGAGGAAGGGAAGGGAGCGAGAAAGAAGTTGGGAGATGTAAATACTGCTTATGATCCATGTAGTGGAAAAGTTTCTTTTTTCTGCCAAGCTACTTGGTTATTCTGCCCTAAACATAGACCTTTTATGTGAACTTTCTAAATAAAGTTGAGAATAGTGTATTGGAGACCTAGAGATCAAATTTTGTGCGAGCAGTAGGCACATTTTCTCTGTAGCTCCTTTGAGTGCAATTGTGAGTATGGTAGCATAGTGTTTCAGCTCTGAAAGGTAAGATTGTTAAGGCAGAACATTAGTGTATAGCCTCTATGTTTGTAGAGACTTCTGTTCAGGTGCCTCGGTGCTCATTCCCAAATGTTCTTTCTTTTAAACAGTGCCTGTCCATATTTGCCTTCCTTGCAAATTTACTTCTGAGAGTTAGTAAATTCTTCCTAGATCTTTTCTAAGGCATAATTGATTTTGTTTTCCTGAACACATAATTTTATATGGTAATATCTGTGCAAAAGCAATTTGCTATGGTTCAGGGAACTGGACTATTATGGGCATTTGTCTTTGTAATGCAATTATAAAGCTACTAACTTGATCTTAATAACGTTTGCCTATTACCACTTATTAGATGCATGAAAGGAAAACAATGCAGTTTTAAACACAGAAAATGATGCTGAAATATGCTCATGCACCTCTCCTGGATTATCAGCCACAAGGATGTAGTGGATGGGATGACAAAATTTTCTGCTTTTATTTTTGTAGGCATTTTGTGAATCCTACATTTTAGAATTAAACTATATTTCTAATATTGTATCAGATAAAATTAGCATGTGTTTATATATGTTTACGTGTATTTGTGTACATGTATGATTTCCTTAGTACAGTGCAGTTTGTATCAGTTTAAATTTTTTAATGCTGTTGCTATTTTTTCTTTTTATTACTCAAAATACAGTCAGTTAAGGCCCAACTTGGAAAGAGACATACGTAAGTGTTCAGCTTCAAGCTTGTGCTTAGGAACATAGCAACTTGTAAGCCTAAAATAGAACATGTATCTAAAGATCTTGATTCAGCAAGTTATTTAATTTCTAGTAGTTTATTTTTTTTTTGTCTGCAATAGCTCATAATTTATGTTGGAACTGTTACAGAGGAGTTCCTGGCCAAGGGGGGTTGATTTAGACATCTTGCCATCACATGAATGACATGTGCTCAGATAGACTCTTTTGAAGTGGACTTTACTGCGTGTTTGGGATCATCCTGAATATTCTAGTTTGTTTTGGACTCTGGTAGTTTTCTTGAAATCCTCGACTTATGTGAAAAAAATGTATTTTTTTTTTTAGTCTGGTACTTAATCAGCAGGCATCCATTAACAATTGAGAGGTGTACTGGCATTTTCAACAGAAAGGCCAAGAGTTGATTAAACTGTACAACTATTGTGTGCAGACCCTGTACAACAGAGAAACGCATTATAAGTACAAGAGAATATTATAATTGAAAGTGATGTTTACTGAGAAAACATAACAGTCAAATTTTCTTTTTGAAGCCTATAGAGGGCAGAAATTTATATTCCAAGATTGCATTTCTGATGCTAGTTATCTTCTGATCACCTCCGACATTTCTGAAGGATCTCATCATCACAAAAGTCTTTAGATGTGGATGAACAGAGGTCAGAACTTTCTTCCAAAGTTGAAGGTGACTCTTATGTTCTCTGCTTTGCGGACAGAAATGTCTAATTCAACTGATGGTCACACAAAACAGCAGTCCTGCTTGCTTCCACGTTGAAGTTTCCTGTGTTGTTAATCAGCATATTGATATTTTGTTGGCACTTTAAATAAATTTTCTTTTAAAGCAAATTGCTGAAGAATCTGAAGGCAGTGCTATTAGCAAATGTGACATAAAGACTCTTAAAATATCCTGGAATACTTAATATGTGTCCTTTTATTTTTAATTCAAAGGATGCTGTGACAATATGCACTCTGGGAATAGGAACTGCTTTTGGAGAGTCCATTCTGGATAACACTCCTCGCCATGCTACCATCGTTACCAGAGAATATAGCGAGCTCCTTCGAATTGAGCAGAAGGACTTTAAGGCACTTTGGGAGGTAAATTCAGATTTATTTGCAGTTTGTGCAGAAAAAAGTGATTTAACCTTTTAAGTGTTTGTAATGAAATATAAGCACATTTATACTGTAAGCAAAGTACTAATTCTTTTAAATTAATTCGGACAAAAAAGAAAGTGGTTTTAGTTCTTTTTAGTGCTTCATATTCTGCATGATTACAAACTCCTGTATTTCTTTCTTGTGGGCTTCTTCTAATGAAATAACTTAGGTGAAATTGCTGGTGGAATTTATTTGTATACTGATTGTTTAGCCTTAAACTTGCTTTTATTGCCAGCATTCATGAGGAGAGTCTATCCTTAATATACTCTGATATTTTAAATTATTCTCCTTTACTCCTGTGTCACTGCCAGCTGTGAGGGGTTTAGAATTTGAAGAAGGATCAAGGTCACTTAAAAATTAAGTTACTGATTACATGTGAATTCCCTTAAAACTTTCTTTTGGGAATTGGAAGGCATTGTATTGGCCTGGCCTATGCTATTGCCAATTTGTACTTCCAGCTTGTTTTAAGTGGTGAGTGTACAAATTCAGATGTTATGTAGAGCTGTCAGATGGTGTGACAGTGTCCTAAAGTTGCAGATCTAGGGACACTACCTGTATTTAAGAAATAGATGCTGGTTGTAGCATTTTAGTTCAGCTTCTCTCCTAAGTGCAGACAGATGGATTTTTTTTTGGCTTTCTCTTTTCCTGAGAAAGAGCAGTGTTATACTCCAAATAATTGTCCTAGAGCAGTACTAAAGTAAGGCTATCAGAAAGCAAATAAAATCCACAACTAGCTACGCTGACTGAGGAAACAGAAATAGCCTGTTTACAAATATGTTGCATTGAGCATAGAGCATGGTGCAGCATGACCAAGGCATGAAATGTGTGAATGAAACGTGCTTCCCATTGAACGCTCTGACAATCAGATTTCATTCTTTGAATTGTATAGCCATAATTTGTGCCCTTTTTTTGGCAATGTCTACAGCTAAAATAAAACGCTAGTAAAGTCTCATAGCAAAATTGAAGAAATTCACAGTGCAATATTTTTCTGCAGTTCATGCATTTTTCTCTACAGGAGCTGCATTATATATAGTTTTAGACCCTGGCATTAAAAGATTAAATATGCCAGTGGTCTCATCTGTTTTAACATATGCTACTCTTGCCAGTGTTCAGAAATTTTTAATGTAGATAGTACTTTACAAGCTGATGATGGAGGAGAATAAATCCAATTGTAGGTTTCTCAGGTAACTTTTTTTTTATTTCACTTTTAGTTGGTATAGATGGAGTAATTTCTGCTATGTATATGACTTTCCTGCTAAGCATTCTGAGATTGTTGGTTTCATATCAGAAATATTGGGGGACTTGAGGTTAAGTTCCCTTTTTAAAAATTTTGAACCTTAAAACATAAAGTTGTTTTTAAACAAAAATTCCGATGTCATTTGCTCTTTAATCGCTAATACAATGTTGTTTCTAACAATTTTGCTGATATTGATGAGTTTTTTTGATGATAGATGCTTTTGGAAAAGGTTACGTCTGCTCAAAGTTTCGGGAGCTATCATAGGGAGCATTAGTGCACATCTTGCATGCTGCAGATTTTATGAAATTGTACAGTAGAGCATGTCACAGATGCTGCAGGTGTCAGTCACAGACCACAGTTTAGCTTTGTGGTGCTTCTTTAACTTTTATACAGTTTTATAGTGAATTTTTCATGTATTTTGTTGTACTTTTGTTCAAGGCGGCTATCCCTGTGCTCGTAGTGAGGGGAAAATTATGCCATGAAATATAGCTTTGCTGTTTAGTTTGAGGTAGAATTAAGTTGTTTATTTTTTTTCAAGGCAATGTTTGTTTCCTTACTAATCCCAAGGCCTACATAAACTGCACCTAAGATATGATGAACAGAATGTTCAAAACAGACAGAAAAGTATTTAAGAAAATTTTCCTAAAATATACTAGCAATAGCAGCAATAGTATTATTGTTATCTGAAGAAAAGTACATACTTTTTTTCTCCCTGGAAGAAAAGTAAGTACTGTTGTTCAGGGAAGCTCTTTGTTATGTTATGGATGCTGTGTTGTTCTGTATACCTCCTTTTAAGATTCATATATCTTTGCTGTGACAAAGCCCATATGGGGAAATGATTATTGATACAGTGGCATGCCATTCAGATAAATTTTTTTATTTATTTTTAATGAAAACCCACACAAAGTCAAGAATGGATCACAGGTATTTGTTATCAGTAGTACCGTGGGAAAGATGGGAAAAGGCAACAATGTCAGTGTCATTACAATCCAGATATGGTTAAAACTAAAAGCTGGTGCATATAAATATCAACTCTCCAGATAAACAGAATTTAATTCCAGAAAGAAGCAGTTTCTCCATATAAAAAAAAAGTTGAATAATTCCAAAATAATGTAGTTTATGAACAACCTAAATAAACTCTAGGATTGGAATTCTTTAAATGGTTATTGCTTTTATGAATGAAGGATTTTTATGCTTAATAATAGAAGTACAAAAAATACCTTTTATATATAATTACGTTTTTTGGGTTTGTTTTTTTTTTTTTTTTTCTCCATGAAATTTACTTTTGGGGAAATGTACTTTATTCCTTCTTTTGAGGGGAAAGAGCAAATGAAATCTCTCTGTTAGCTGATTAAAGATTTTTGGCATAGAGAGCATGGAAATTCCAAGAATGCTTTTTTTGATATTATTTTTAGGTTGTGAATACAATCTTGGAAAATGAACCAGTATAAATTGATTCAGTATTGACTTTTAATTTATTATGCAACTAATCTGAAATGATAGGACTAAGAGCTATGAACTATCTTCCTTTATAGTAAAAATTTATTAACACTGAAACCTACTGATGATGAAGTTCATGTTTGCAACAATGTTCTTCTACCACAGATCTATGCCGTTCTTTCAAAGGCAAATAAATATCCGTTTATACTGCTTATGAAACTTTTAGTATAAATCCTGAAACTAGATTTTAAGAACAAGAAAGATAGAATACCTATTACCTTTCTAAACTTCTAAGTTTAGAAAGAATTTTCAGAATCTCTTTAACTACATATTATGAATTTACAGACTTTTCTGAGTTTTGTTTAAATTGAAAAGTAAGTTTTCCTGTCTTAGCTGTATTGCTCTAAGAAACAATTGTATTGATAGAATGTTTCACAGACCAGATGTGGCTTATTAACGTATTTAATGCACAATATATAACAAAGTGTATTAATTTCTTTGGGCACAATTACAATTGGGTCTATACCTGAAAGAAAGAGATTGCTACTTATAAACAGACTTTTTTCTTTTTTATCGCTATTCTTCTGTCAATTTTATAAATTTAGAATCATAGAATCATTTAGGTTGGAAAAGACCTTTAATATCATTGAGTCCAACCATAAACCTAACACTACCAAGTCCCACTAAACCATTAAATACTCCTTGAAGAAAAGATAGGATATTCTTTATGAAAAACATAATAAGATGCCTTCTGTAATATACCAAACCACATACTCATTCGACCCTTTTTCTATGACCTTCATGTTTAACAGTCAGGGAATGCTGGTCAAAACAAATGACATTGTCCTGATAACAACAATTACCAGTTAAAATGGGCTAGTTTTTTTCTCTAATGACTATATCTCTTGAAGTAGCATCCTGTTTGGGAACATCTGTTGGACTTCTAAGCTTACTCATCCTTGGAGACTTGTTTCTATCAATGGCTGCTATAGCAGATTGGAGGTGATGAAATTTCTGGTTAGGTTCTCGCACAGCTGAACACTGTTCCCTGATGAAAAAACTCTAGGAGGATATGGGAGTCACTGGTGACGTGCCTCTGTGCACCGATTGTCCCTGGCTTTCATCTCTGAGGAGCACTAGCAAACATGAAAAATGTTACAACACTGTAGGCTTCCAAGGTGCTCTATGAATCTGTACAAAGAGGTACCCTGTGTGGGTAAGAACTTGATTTCTCTCTTTAGCATCAGTGAGTTAGTGTGGTGCTAGCTACCTTGCCCAAAACCCTGTTTCAAAGCACAAAGGAAAATACATCCAAAAATAAACATGAAAGCAGAAGGCTACGCATGAGGAGCTCTGGTCATGCACATCCTGTTGGGTCACTGGCTTGCTCCACCCCTAATAGTTGGGTTCTTTTAAACTGAGTAGGAGTGAAATGAATGTATTTGAGCAGTGTTATCATTACAGAAGTTCTCTGTAGTTCATCCTCAAGCTTTGTCCTTTCATGCAGTTGCAAACTGATTCAAACGCAGACAGGAAGGGAGTGAATCTGCTGAGAGGTGACTTATTTTTAGAGGTCTTTCCTACCACAGTGAATTACTCAGCCTTCCTTGGATAACATACAAATAACCGATTTCCTCTTGTGTGGAATAAGATTATGTTAGAAGTTACTGAACATGCCTTGAGAAACATTTGATCTCGAGTAAATGAAGAACAGCTATTACTTCGGTATGCAGTAACTTTGGAGAGAGGGAGTCTTGGCCCCTATAAGGTCAGAATGAATATTTTAATTATATTTTATTATATTCAACAGCACTTACACATCTCATAGTCTGATAAACAGTAGTGTAACTTGCTTCCTGCTTTTGCCCATCTGATGGTAATTCAGAAGCCCTCAGCAGACTTCACTGCTCTGAAATGATAGCTTTGGGAGAAGCAGCTTTCTTACCGTCTTTGTTTTCTGAATACTGGGAATGTTAGTTTTTAATGAGCCAGTTTAAAAACTGATCCTCTGTCAGAACAGAAGAAATTTTACGCACAGTTTCAGTGGAATGCTGTGTAGGAAATACATGTATGAAATGGCATGCTGACTTAAACGTTGTAGCACTCTTCAGTGAGAGTTCTGAATAAGGCTTAAGTTCATCAGAATTGAGACCACAGCTCTCAGTACATTTCCGTGTAATATCAGTTTGTCTTTTTAAGGTATATCAAATCCTATCTCTTATATCAGGGTATAATATAATCTTATGCCTCATTTTATGTGTCAGGA